AAGAGGGGTTTCTAGAAAGTTACCCATGTTTTGCTCAGGACCTGGCTGGGCATTGGTCTACCCATGGGAGATGATGGGTGATTGCCATTGCATCACTTGTTTTGTTTTCTTACTCTCTTCTTTCCCTTCTCCTTTGCTTATTAAACATTTTTTATCTTGATCCACAAGTTTTATTGCTTTTACTCTTCCTTTCCTGTTCCCCTGTCCCACTGGTGCGGGGAGGCAGGGAGTGAGCAAGCAGCTGTGTGGTCTTAGCTGCCTACTGGGGTTAACCCACAACAGTCTCATAAGGATATATTCCCATAATTTAAATTAGTTTACAAGTTATGGACACCAATCCTGACTTCTCTGGTGCAAAAGAACTTTAGGCATTTAGCATTTCTGGCAATTTTAAGAAGCTCTTCCACAGTGTCATGATGTGTCTGATTTTGTATGCAGCATATTAATAATACTGCACAGTAGCGCTGACCAGTACTATTCATAGACAAGTGCATGGTGCTTGGGTGTGACGCGTAAAGGTGAGACCTTGGAGTTGATGGTGCATGTTGAGTTGCGCAGTGTGGAGGTACAAGGCAAGGATTGCCTTTTCGAAGCAAAACAGAGCTGTTTGAGAAACTATCAGTAAGTCATGAAATAACTAAAACTTACAAAACCTTTCTGTGCTGATATGTCAAAAATCTGAATGTTGTCTCAGTAGATCAGTATGGTCTTAAAATGAAGTCTTTTTATCAGGAAGAGAACAGTTACTTTAGAATTGACTGTTGCAGTCCTACACATCAGTAAAAATGTAAGTAAATTAGAGCATCAAAATAAATAGTTTCAAGCAAATAAAGTATCATGAACTGTTGATTGTAATACTTTCAGATTAAGCAACAAAATGTGCATGTTTATAGATATGCCAGCTACATGAGTCCTTAAATAGTCCTGAGTTTCTAGTGCTTATTCATTACTGTGTGTCATTTTATGATTTTTTACTATAATTAGAAATAATCCTGACTTATTAGCTTTATCTCCATGCTAAAATCTGATAAGGCCTTTCAGTGTTAGTCTGTTTCTGTTACTGTGTAGATGTGGAAAACAAGCCTAAAGATTGGAACTTGCAAGCCCGTAGTCACAGCAGGTCTGTCCACAGCTATCTGCAAGTTTGCATTCCTACCACATGCAGTAAGTTTTTCTCTGTAGACCCATGTCACCGAGGAATTCAGCAAGGAACAAGAAATCTTCAATCAGAGAAGGGCCACAAGTGTGTGAAAAGCTAGCCACACATAAACAGTAAAGGTCATTAGCAGGCTCCTAAACTCCTGGCTAGGAATTAGGTTTTTTGGATCATTAACGGTAAAAAGCTTAGGAAATGAATAGGACTCAGTGTCCTATTAAAAATTAGCCAGAACAATTAAAAGGTTTTCCAATTTCTAGTGGGAACCAGACCTGATAGTTCATTTTCCCTTGTCTAGTGGGCTGTTTCTGCATTTTGAATTACATTAATTTTATGTCCTTGTATTTTTAAAGAAATGTCCTGAAGTATTTTTTCTGTATAGATGTTGTAAATTATTTACAGTGAGGGCAGTGAAAGCCTGGGAGAAGTAGAATCTAGTGTCTCCCTAAGACTGTGTTACTGATTCCAAATCTTGTGACTCTAAACTAGTACAGTTAGCTGTGACAGGATTTCTTCTGGCGTGTGCAAATGTGTACTTTGCAAACTCCTAATACAGTTGCTGTATTATGTGATTCCATGAGCTAAAATGCTCATTTGGTTGCAAATACACAGCCTTTTTTGGTGTGAGGTGTCTCTCCTTAGGGTATTACATGTTTCCCTAAACTCAGTTTTCTGATTTCAACAGCAGCCTTTCTGCTTTCATTTCAATGTAAACTTCTTGCTGCTGAGTGGATGACTGATGGCTATTTAAGAGCTATCTTCTCCTCTACTGTATATTTCTCCTTAACCCTAAAGTGACTTTGGCACAAGAAAATGGCGAACAGTGAGCCTTTAGTATTTAAAAATGTAAATTTTGGAGAGGTATGTTAAATACTTTCTCTTTCCTTATCTTTGCATCCTTGCAAGCATGTCTTACAAAACAATCCAAAGGGAGGAAGACATAAAGTACAAACAGAACTAAGTAATGTTTTACACTGTCTGCTTTGCCTGCAGGCCTGCCACTCTAGAGGAAAACAAACCCACAAGTTACCAAACTTTTTTTCACTCTCTAGCTGTTAGACTCATTTACCTCCCCATTTGCCTTAGGCTCTAAATCTCCCCACCTAGCCCTCTGGTAATAATCAAGGTAATCTATGAACTAATTGTCAGTACAAGCCATGTGATTCTCCTGAAAGGAAAAAGGAAAAAAATAAATTTGGACAAGGAAAAGTAGACTGCAGATAAATGGGGTGGAGTTGGGGGGAATAAAAGGACAAAAGAAAGGCAGGACAATATGATCTTCCTCGCTATGTTCATTTTGTAAGTAGTTATTCATTTACTCCAGATGCAGAATTCCTTTCTGCAGTGAGTGAATTGCCCTGTCATTAACATAAAATTAGCTCCAAATGATCTTGGCCAAGAGCTTTGAAATATGTTAGTATAGAACCACACACTCAAAAACACGTGGGAATCCATGTGAATTTCCAGATGTGAGAATCTTCTGTGGTACAAATATAGTTATGTTTGTGTAGCATAGTATTCTGCTCTATGGATGCACTTTAGATGCAGCTGTGCTTCCAGTAGTGGTATAACTATGTTACTGTGGTGCTCTGCCTGAGTGAATGCATCTTGTTTCTTATAGTGAGTCCATTCTAATAATGACTATTTGTAAACCGACATTGTCCTGCAAGTTAAAATACTCCTTCAAGAAATGTAAGCAATTCAGTATGGGCTAGTAGATTAGACTGCGAGAGAAAATTTGAAAAATTCCATGTTCCACTTTTGATTTGTCATGTGTTTTGCTAGTAATTGTTTTTGCTTGTCTGACTTATTTTTCATCAGTGAGTACCTTCTGCACTAGGATTAAAATTTAGAAGCCTGAGAAAAGTTTGAAGAGGTCATAATTTTTTCTTTGTTATCTAAATAAGTGCTTAAGGTTGTGGTTTGATTTCAGTTATATTATCAAAAGTAAATTGATTGATACCAAGATTAGCTGAATCTCAATGTAATTACCTGATTTTATATTAATCTAAATAAAGCTCTCTACACATAATGATAGTCTTTCATGCTCTTTCTTTTGTTGTTGTTGTTGTTTAAGCCCTTGACATCTCAATTTCTTTAATGTAGTTGCCTTCTTCTCTATGTGTAGGAAGTGAACTCAAAGTGTCTTTGAGAAGGAAATTGGTCTGTGCAGGAAGACCCTAGTGGGTTGAATAAATCTATAAAACTGAGTTTAAGTACATCAACTAGTGCCTGAACTGTAAAGTAATCAGTCTATAGTAGCGGCTGTTGGCTATTATTAATGTTTGAACATGTAAATACAGAATGGTGACTGGAAGTCAACTAAAATGTCTTTCTTGTTCACTCTGTAGTGTCACCTTGTAATTTTTAATAGCCACAACAAGTTTTACAAAGAAATACTATTTTCTTCCTGACTGAAAATTGTCCCCATTCATGAACATGAATAATCAGTTTTCAGGCATAACCCTGTGTTACTTAGGCTGCGATCTCATCACGTCGTATACATCAAACAGGGTCATATCACTCCTGTAGTTGGATAAGAGACCTTCAGGGAAAAAAAAAATCAGCTAGATATCTGATATTGATCTTTCCTCTGAAATGACAGTAGTTCCATGCTCTAGCAGAATGTAAAGTAAATTCTGTGTAGTAAGTCATTACACAGTGAATAAAATCATTGTTTGACATAAATCACTGCAGCCTTAGGGAGTTCATCAGATTGTCAACTGATCCTTTGTCTCTTGGAGATTAGGTAAAACCAAGGTTTTGATTGTAGAAAGCATCTTCTTCCATTAAATGTTGCATAGTATCTATAACATTTATAATATATATTATTATATCTTCTGTATCTCATATTTCATGGGCAAATGCATTATGCATATCTAAAATATGTCTTGTACTTTTCATTATAATCTTTAAATTGTCAGGTAGCATTGTGCTGCTTTATTACCAAGGAGCATTAAGAATTGTAAAGGCTAGAAGTGACTCCCCATTGCAAACCTCTCTGAGCAAAATATCCATTGCTACTCTTCACCATTACCAGCTAATATCAGTCATTATCTTTAATATCAGATTTTAAGAAATGTCCAGTAAAGGAAACCTGCATGATAAAAACGGTAGGAGCGTGCCACTGTCTGAATGAGAAATTGACTGAAAAGACATCCGTGAGCTATCCAAGCAGTAACAGCTTGTAGAAAGCAGTAAAACTTTTGTAAAGAAGATGGGCCTTTCTTCTGTCATATGCCATGGGACATACCTGATGTGGTAGGTCCTATAGTTGAGAAATTGATGTGCTTTTTGTCACATGTTTGAGAGAGGGTACGTTGCATTTCTACCGTGAGTGGCTGGGAATACTTCAGTCAATACGTGACAATCTTTGTGGGCTGGTGCTGTCCAAAACCATTTTTGACCCCAGTTGCATCGCCCCAACAGCTGAAAGTCTTTTAGCAACGTGCTGTTTTACTTTCAGTAACTAAAATCTTAAAGTGTGTGTGTGTCTGTATGTATACATAACAAACCAAGATCTATGAAGAAGTACGTGCTTTGACAATTAAAAAGCAGTGATATCTAGTGGAAGACTAAGCAAAATCAAAGGCCTCTCAGTGCCTTGTGGACATCAGACTTCTTTCCTAACTTTCAGCATCTAATCTATCTAGAACCTAGTGAAGATGTTACATAAATGATGTGATTATGTAAATGTATGTTTAAATTCCATTTGAATTGAAAAACATGGATATCTGTTTTAAGAGTTCTGCCAGTGCTTTTGTATCTCTCAAACTGTTTTATGGTGCTGCTTTTCATTAATTATATTTTGACAGAAGAAATTCTTGCCCCTTTTTTTTTTCAGACTGAAGAACAAACGGGCCTCTCTGAAGAGCAGCTTAAGACCCTTCTGGAAGAATGTATGCAGCCTCAGAGAACAATAAGCAACGTTACCATGCCAAAGTCTCAGGAATCTCTTTCTTTTGGATTAAGTCCCCCTTGTTACACAAGTCAAGACTCCACTCTTCACTCCACATCTACTCTTTCCAAAATGTTATTTGAAGACCATATTGTAGGGATGTTAACGGCTCAGGAAAAGGCTGGACTTGAAGACAAAAGCTTATGTGTTAATGCAGAGAGTGAAATCCCTGGCTACTATATCAGCAAAGCATTGGCTGATAGTCACTTATCAAAGGATTCACTGGCCCAAACAGAGGAATCTGATGACCTAGAAGGTTTACAGAAGATGGCAGATAAGAGTATTACTGAAGGTTACTTTATGTCAAGAGCACTCAACACAAAAAGGTTGAAGAAACCTTCTTTCTTGGGTGAACCATTATATTGCATCAGCATGAACAATGAGCCATCCACAGAGGCTGACATTCTCAGCATACCACTGCAAACCAAAGGAGGTGAGACTCTTAAGAACCCTTTAGAATAGGCTTTTGATTATGATGAAAAAAGACCAAGCAGGTTCTCACCAAAGGTATGCACCAATACACACCGATTATTATGGTCGGGCAAGGATGTACTTTTATAAAACATAAAACTGTGCCAGAAATAATACACACAAAATAACAGAATGTTTATTAAAATTCTTGCCCTGACATAATTGACTATAAGACTAGGACTCTTATGAAATATAATATTGATGTTGATTAATTCTGTCAACTGGAAAATACTGTTGACAACACATACAGATTATCTTTTTGGTAGCAGAAAGTCATGTTCACTGTTCTGTGGAGAGAAAATATTCTCCCAGTAGTTAGTATAACAATTCACACAAAAATCCAAGTGTTTCTTGAATGTTTTTAATAAGGTAAACTCAGTAGTATAGAAACAAACATGACCTAGCTATATTAAAAATAATAAATAGCTTTCAGGGAGTTCAAATTTACACATAGAAGATACCAAAATGAACAAATAATGCATAATTTCTAGAAATTACTTTCAGTTCAGTAAAAGAAAGAATAGACTTTAATCAGCAAAAAATTAAATTCACTCTATCTGGTATTATAAAAAGATTTTGGAAATGTCTCTATTCTTTATGTCCTTTACTTAAATGCAATTATATAGTGATATAGTAATCTAAATCTATATTTAGATTTTTAGCCTAAAACCACGTCTCTTTCTGGAAAGCAAACTGTTCAAATAAGCTAGATTTTAGGCAGGTACATCTACCTCTTTCATTTCTTTCATAAAAGTTGTGACAGTATGGAGTTGTTTGTGATTAAAGTGCTATAGCTTAATTGTATTAGAAATCAATAAATTTTGCTATGTTTGTCAAGTTAGATCTTTGTTATACTGGTAATCTGTTCTGAATTTAGAGAAACATTTTTTTCACAGTCATTGGTAATTCAGAAGAACATCCTAATACCTCTTTACTATGTTATCATTTCTTAAGTATGATTGCAACTGTTTCTCTGGTTGTTTGTACTTAACTTTTCTACAGTGAAAGGAATGTTAATATTTTTTCGAAGTGATTCCACCTATCAGAAAGCAAGAAGGCTTGTTATTGCTGTTTTTACACTGCCATTCAAACTTGGTATCCAGACTCACCTGCAATATTTGCCCATTATGAGATTTAGGCGATAGCTGCAATAGGAAGAAAACAGAAATACAACAGCTGTAGAAAAGGTTGGGTTTGGGTTTTTTTTGGTAGGTTAGTTTTCAGCTAACTTCCCATGTCAGCTTTGCTCTTCACATAGATGCAAGCATCAGAAGAGTGGAGCAAGGGAAGAAGGAAGTGGTCTGCCCCAGAGGAGAGCGGGGTGGCAGTGGTGGTGGTAGGGAACACCAGAGAGAACCATCTCTGCCAGTGGCAACCTGATCTCATGCAGGAGTAACATGACTACATACTACACCGCTAGTCGTCTTCAGCAACCAACAGTGAGAAAAACTCAAGTTTAACTTGCTGCCTTCACATGAATTAAAGTTCTCCTTTAGTCTGAATAGATGTAGTGCAGTCAGAGTCAAGTGTGACTCAGCCCCAACTACCATCTGTCTTTATTAGTGTATTCTAAGATGCGATGTGTTAAATCAAGCAAAACACCATGCACTGTAGCCACTATGTAGTGAAGTGAGCAGGTAACCATTTATACCTGTTGTGCTAGACATAGTCACTATGAGATTATTGCACAAGAGAGAAAGGAGATTTCAGCTATTAAGTAAATTTCCATATGGGACATCTCATGGTAAAAGTCTTCAAAGTGAATGTGTTAACATTTACACATAATAATTTAAGTATCTTTGAGTCATAATCATGCATTGTGTCAGAGCAATGCAATAGGGTGTTTCAGTTGTCTGTTTTCAGTAGTGGCTGAGTAATGTTCAACCATATAGACCTCAAATCTGTATGGTTAATAAACATCTTGGGTTTATGGTCATTTTGCTTACCAAATATTTTTTCTTTTTTGGGGGGGGGGGGGGGGTTCTGAATTATCAAAGTCTCTAAATCTTTTCATTTTTACTAAAAACAAAACCAAGGATATAATTACAGGTATCATAACCTCATCAGGCTTTGAGTCTTTGTGTCAGTGTCTGATTTTTAAAAATGGTGTGAACAGGTAATCTTTAGGCACAATAAGTGTAAGTGCAAAATAAAACCCACTTCAGAGGTTTGTAATTGTTTTCACATTAGTGCTAAATATTTTGCAGTTATCTAGAAGTTTAACTGAATTATATTCAGATTTATTGTATTCCATTAATGTTACTCTAATGTTAAAACATATATCCAAAATTAACATTTAAATAGACAGCAGTCCATTCTTATTATTTTTGTCACTGTACTGCTTATGAGATAGTGTACAGCATAAAACAGAAAACCCTGATACCCTTCCATGGAATTAATTTGTTTCCTGCAAAGGTGGCTCAGTTCTGTCTTAAGCAATTATTCCTGGCCATAAGCAAAAGGTTGTGATGTTTACCAGATTTGTAAAGTTGCCTAATGTATTCTATAGGTAAGCTTGTTGTTAGTTTGGACATGATTAGATGTGCTAATTGTACTGAGGAATGGCGATCCCAGTGGAGTCCAGTTTAAGGCAAATACATCTGCAGATGAAGGTGTGAGAAGTGTCAGGTGTTATTTTTATTTTGAAGAAATATTTACATAGTTGAGCTTTGTTATGGTCTTAATTCTAAAGGACATTTAAACATGTATGCATAATTTTCTGTAAATTGTTTGGTTTTCTGGCCTGCTACATGTGGTTTAAACTCTGTGTAGTGCTACGTAAGCAAACAAAACTGTGTTTGTGTGAAACTGGTTTAGCAGAATTTCTGTTTTTCAGTCATTATGGTACTGTAGTCTGTGATAAAGATTTACCTTAATACATTAAATTACATATATTTTAAGGAAAGCATAATTATTAACATAATTCATATATATACTTGTACATATATATATCTGAAGGAAATTCTCATGTGCCTTCAGAGGTAAGTAATTCCTGTTTCTTGAAAGAAGCAGTAATCCACATCAGGGTCATATGCATGTAAATATAGGTGATGTTTACTGAGATAAACAGAAGCCAGACTTACCCACATGCAGGTATGAAAAGGCTGTTATTTCTCAGTTGTATGACCTAATTGGTAATTAGTTCCAGCTTTTTTTTTAGGGGCTGTATTAAGTTTTAAGTAGAAGTTATATCACAAACTTGTTTTTCCCTCTTGCAAATAATATTGTGCTTGCAGCAGTTCAGCATATGATTCTTTTCTTTTTTACAGATGATATGAAGATTGAAAGTTGAGGGGACAGTGATTATATGCTTCTTTGCACAACTGTTTTTCTGAAAGTGTGGTTAAACCTCCATCAGTGATATTATACTGACACAGTATCATTTCAGACAACCTGAAAGGAATGAGTTATCATCACTGAAAACTGTTCCGTGAGATGATTTATTCTTAAGAGATAATTATTATTGTCATTATCATATATTGTTGCAGTTTGATTTCAAAATAAACTCTTGCATTTCTATTAAATTTGCTGTGGGTGTTCTATCTAATACATAAATGTACATAGACATTTGTGTAGCTGTGTGTCTGATAGATGTGCGTGTCTTTGTTCATGAAAAATGTAAAATAAAACTTGCAAAGTTCAGTTTCTACTGATGAGACTTTATTAGAGTGGATGTGAAATGTATAGAATAGTTTTATTTTTATTCCTTTACACACAATCTACTTTTTTTCATGAAGTTAGCTAAAACCTGGCCTCTGTTATCCCAGTGCAGTTTGCTGGAGCTTGCAGCCTGTCTGACTGCTGAGCCCTGACTCAGTGAAGGACCCAAATACGTACTCAGTTTTCTGCTGTCTGCTAGACTGCTGGTTTGGTTGAAGGTAAAGGCTTGCACAAGTCCTCTGCTGGATCAGAACATCGGCACCAGTCTGCTCAGCTGTGTCCGATTCTTGATCCTGTGAAGAGTGTAATCATATAGCGAACAGTCTTATCCTCTAGTTAAGAAACATAACTAAGTGGTGAAAGATCGCAGTCCCTCCTGGAGGCTTGATGTGGATAGAAGTGAAGTTCAGAAGTTTGCCCTAGCAGTTACTGGATTGTGAAACCTTACAGTAATGGCTAGCTGGGGAGAGGGCAATACAGCTGTTTTGTGTTTGAGATAATAATAAAACTTCATTACAAGTTTTTGCTTGTCTACTCTTTAACTACTATTTTTTCTGAATATTCTACTTATTTACTGAGCTGATGGTTAGTTTCTCATTTCATGCACTGTAGTCTCAGAATAAAAAGACATTAAAAAATGTGGTTCTCTCTTTAAAAGCTTTTTTTGAGGGGGGAGAGATATTCTAGCAAAGAAAACTCTAGATTTTCCCATTGATAAGCTCTCATTTGAGACAAACTAAAAGGACAAATTCTTTCTCAGATACTATACTAGCTGTTTAACATTCAATAAGAAAAGATGTGTGGATAGAATGTTAACTATACAATGGCTGTGTCATGGCATAGGGCTTACTTGAACTAAACTGAATGTTTACATTTATGCACACATTGGCCCAGATTTTAATCTCATTTACAGAGTTGCCAGTCTGAGTGGATGTACACTCCTGAGAAATTGTGTGGTTATAACAGAGATCAGAATCTAACCTACCTTCTTTTAATTAAAAATGTCAGTGGGACATTATATTTGTGAAAAGCAAGTGCTATTTATTGTTTTCTGATATTTTTACTTGTTCTGCAACGCAATAACAAACCCATGGATACTGGGTCTTCTGCGCAGTCCCATTGCTCTGCGTAGGATTGCTGTAAGCACATTTCATGGAGCTTTGCAAATCTCACCTAGATGTAGTTCTTTTCTTCTTTAAAAATTTTAAGCCTATGTCATAATTTCTTTACCATAAATATAATCAAAGCAATGCCGACAAGTTTTTTCAAGAGTATTTTCTGTGCCTGTATGATATTCACGCAGCACTGTCCCCTGGCTGTAATGTTTCCAC